TACATGGATTAACAATTGTCATGGCAAACAGCAGAGGGATCTGAAGACACTGAGTCTGGTATACTGACATTCCACTGTGCTGATTGTCTGCAACAGTGCTGCTGTCATGGAGATAGCTGATAGATGGAACAATACAGAACACTGCATCTTGTGCATATACCCAGTAGGTTAATAGAGGACAGGCAGGGGAAACTCTGGCTAAATATGACCTATTAAATTTCCCTATCTGACATACAAGTTTCTTAAGAAGGCCTCCTCTAATGATGGATGTGGTTATGTCTTGTTGAGGTTCTTTAGTCCAATGTGGCATCAACCTAGGAAAATCATTATAAAGTATGCATCTAAGTACAATTTTCATAGCTCCAACAAAAAATAGAGATCTAAATCAAGTCAGTTTATGTTGCAATTGGTCATAAAGCTGTAAATTGGTCTTCAGCCTTTTGTCAGAATTGTGTGAGACCAGGCAGCAGCAGTGTTCAAACTAGATCAAATCTTAAGGTCCAGCAAGCAATCCACATGCAATATCAAGGTTCAGGGGTCAAGTTTGGAGGACAAGGAAGCTACATAGGCCCAAAAGACATAGCTCTCAAGGTAAAGCTGTCATCAAAGTTGTTCAGCAATACATGTTGTCTTTTGGGACAGACTTAAATGCCAATCAGAAATCAGAAATCCCAATCCAAGTGCAGCTATAGTTAAGTAGCCTTGATTTGCTAGAATCTGATGCTGTAAGTTTTTTCACCCAAAGTCCCTGCCAGCAGCAACTCCTTCAGCTGACTAATTTCTGGCTCTCCACCTGTTTCACTGGGGTTCCCAAGGGCTGGTGGGGTCTTATCTCCAGTTCTAGATTAGAGTTTTCTATATCAGGACAGGGGGCATTGTGGCCTGTAGATGGTATTTCACTGCTGGTACTAGGGTTTAGTTCCATGGTTTCTGGGTTGCTAAGTTCCCGGCTTGATCATATACTGGCCCCTGATGACAGTTACCTGTCTGATCCCCCAGTGTTATTATTAACCTCCATATAAGTAGGGAAAATCAAGCTTAGAAACCTGCTTGTGTACATACATAAGGATCTCAGACATTTCTGGTGTTATGTTTCCAGAGCCTGGTCAAGACAGCTTGCCCAAGTCATTGTGCATATAATTCAGATTCTCTTAAAGATGCTGAGGTGCCTCAGTGGGATTGCACATTGCCTCACTGATATTCTTTATGACCAATTGGGTTATTTGGGCTGTTAGCCAAATGTGTATAAATGCTCTTACACTCATCACCAACAATAGCTTGTTCAGTTTGAAAAAAAGAAAGGAAAAAATTACATAATTCCAAATGTTTACAAAAACAATGGTCCTATTTTTAACAACACATACTAGCCACCTGGCAGATAATCACTTAAATGTGGGATGACAATCATGGCTGCAAAGAATCTATATAAAGGTAGGTAGGTAGGTGGGTAGATTTTGTGTCTGTTGTTTCCATCAGTACATAATATCAATAATGCAATAATGCATACCTTGCTATTTTAAATAAAGATCAAGATCTGATTGCCTGATGTTTCCCCAAACATCCCCAAATGTGATGCAAATGTGTTGGGCAACTGTGTTCATTGATTACTTGGAACACAAATCTAATTTTCCTTCGCTATAAGGATAGTGATTCTCATTTATCACTAGATTACAGCCTGCTTGTCTTGGGGATACAGCAAGGCTGAGAAGATTCATGGGAGGCAGCAAATTACATAGCCTTTTTTCTAGATAGCATTTTTCCTACGCCAGGCACTCTGATTCAGGAGGCAGCTGACAGCCACAAGACATGGAAAGGCCATGGAAAAGCCAATGCTGATTTTCCATTGGTTCAGATAGGCAGAAATATCAGTCATCTCTCGAAAATCCAGCACCACAACATTTGTTACCTCTTGAAAAGGATTCAGATTCTGTTTTTATTCCAATTGAAATGCTAATACCACATGCATGTGCATAGTGGACAGATGGGTACAGTATAATAGTTACTTGTTTGCATACAAAATTTGTCGCTAATCTTAAAAGGCTCTTCCTCTGAGATACCAGTGATCCACCCGCTGCCAGTGAGATGGAGTGGAGGGAGCCTGAAGCTACATGCATGTCCAGAGCTTTGTTTGTTGTAGCCTCAGAATACTCTCCAACAATGGCTAAACAATCAATGACATGTTTGTGATGAAATGCTTGATTATATACATTCTACTAATGCAAGTAAAAGGTTAACTGCCTACTTCCTTATAAGTTGGATTACTGTATTAGGATTGGGCTTCAAAAAACTGGGAGACCACTAGATGGCAGTGTTAAGAATATCTCTTCCTTACTATCCCCCACTTGGGATAGTATACCACCAAGAAAGGAACTGATATGAGAGAAGATACCATCAGTATAAGAAAGAAAATAAGTTTATTCTGGAGTGATGGCAGTGAAATGTTAAGGTACATTTTGTTATCCCCCACACAAAGCTTGAAGAAATTATATTACTTCTGACTAAAAAATATTTTTTCCCACTAAAATGCAAAAAACACTGGCTTACTCTCTATTTCTGTGAATTGTCTGCAGTATCACCCCACCTATTGTGGTAGAAATCAGCCAGTTATGGGGAATTCTCTTCCCATACAAATATCAGCTTCAGAGGTGAGATTTTTCTCCAAACTTCAGCTGGGGAAGAAAAATACAAATTCATTTTCCCCACTTGCTCTTTTCCCAGTAATTAGTTCCATCAAGTTGATTCTGTTTGCATTTTCAAATATTTGTGTGTCAAATATAAAGATGCATTTTTAAGATGTAGGAAGCTTGATCCTCGGTATGAAGTTTCCATTCATATCAGTAACCAAATGTTGCAGTATGAAGTGCCTCTGTTTAGCGTTCTAGCTATTCTGTTCCACACTTGCTCTTATTTACTGGGTCTGCTCAACCCCATTCTAACACTATGTTAGCAGTCCCTACCCTTGAGCATGCTCTGTTCTTATTGGGCTGCTCCCCACCCCCAGACGTGAGATTATAATAGAGATTACAATTTTGTGTTCTTGTGCATCTCAGTGCCTCCCAAGCCTGCTCATATTTCCCTCTTAGGCATAGGTGGTGCCATTTTTGCTACATAAGCAGCAGTGTTCCCCCATTAAAAATGGGAGTATACAAATGTCACAATTCTCCTGAGTTCACTCCTCCGAAATCCACAGTCTGCCTATGCAACTACTTTAAGGGTGATAGCCAAACTTCATATAACCATGCAGAAATATATGCATGGTTACACAAAGCAACAAAGCATGGGCTGATCATCTGCTATGACTCAGCCTGTGTAGTCATTTGTTAATCAGATGGGTGGTGCAGCTCAACCCCCTTGAAATACTGAAAAATGTTTCCCAACAAAGCCAGGAGGTTGGAGAGCAACACCCTATGCTTGCAAGCTGAGGCAATCGTCTAATGGCATGTCCTTTTTACTTACAGTATCCTTCTAGGCCCTCTCAGCTGCTATCCTCTCCTCAACTCTGCCACTTTAGAGCTACAGTGGCAGCATTGCTTTGGCCCTGTGATGCCAAACGTGTCTTCTTTAAATTTGGGAACTCAGTGGCTTTTTAGAAAGGTAGATGAGATCCAGCTGGATTTCTACAGTTTCCTTTAGAAACCTAGTAGCAGGGGCTGGCAGCAGCCCCAGAGCAGCTTATAGGATCATCTTCAATGGTGATAGGGAATTGTTGGAGCTGGAATTTCAGCCCAGTTGGAAGGTATGAGGGTGGGAGGGCTGCACTAGGAATTCATGTGAGTTGCAGTTGTGAAACCACAATATGCTTTATTATTCACAAACATTTAAATTTAGTTCCGTTGTTCCTGTTCATCTCTCCACAGTGGCTGTCAGCCTCACTAGGTACTACCAGATCATAAAATCAACTTGGTAGGCCAGGGATACATAAGCTGAGGCCTAAGGGCTAACATGGGTGCATAAGATATGACCTTTCAGATATTGCTGAATCACAACTCTTTCATCCCTTGTTATTGGCGACTGTTGGGAGTTGTAATTCAGCAATATCTGGATGATCAGACATTGTGCAACCATGCCAAAAGCTTTGGGTGCTGCTCCCAAAGCTTCTCCAAATATATCCATCACCAAATTGTAATTTTTAAAAGGCCAGAAGGGGAAAATTAAGTACTTGGGAAATAATCACCTCTTAATTTAATTTTAGTTAAATTGTAATGTAAATTAAGTTGTGTTTATCCTGATCCTATTCATTTTTTGGACAACAATCCTCAGCATGCCTCTAAAAGGTCCTGAGCTAGTTGGAAGCCCCTACTTTAATCCATAAATACAATTTGCAATTTATAATTCTCACATTCACGTGTCAGGTTAGCCATTAGCATCATGTGTGAATTCAGTCACAGTCAGGGAACAAGCTATCATAATGATAAAGCCATGGAAGTATAATAATTTACTTGTATAATAAATAATTCAAAATGGACAAGTAAAGAATATAAACCCCCCCCTCAAATTATTTTCCTTGAGTTAACTCACTACATGCAGCAATCCCAAAATTTAGAACAGTATTGTTACCTTTAGCTATAATCCAGTGTAAGCAGAGATAATTTTATTTTAGGTCAAGTAAAGGTGGAAAATGGAAATAATTCTTCTGAGTTCAGATTTCCCTTATAAACGGTGCAGCCGAACGAGTATGAGACACTGTATGTTAATATTAAATGTAAAGATAATTTAAAGGTAAAATGAAGAGTTGCAAGCATTGATATAGGATAATGTGTTTGCAGAGCAGTTTCCCTTTTTCAGACTGAATTCATATCTTTTGTCAACTGAGACACTTTGAATTCTGCTTAATTGTAAGTGAAGCAAAAAGGGGAAGAAGGTGTGTCTTGCCCTCCTGAAATTGTTTTTAAAATTATTTTTTCTTCGGCAGCCTTTCTGGATTTCTAGACTTGTACCTTGTACCATAGGGTATCCTCAACTCATACATATTTTTCTTTTCTTTGTTTAATATCTAATAGGGATTGGGAAGAATGTCATTTGTGATAGAACAGCCACTCCGCTGGATGCCTTTAGGATGATGACAGCTGCCCACTATTATCCCAAGCTCATGAGCATCATGGGCAATGTTCTCCGTTTCCTGCCTGCCTTTGTGAAGATGAAGCAGCTGATCCAAGAGGGCTATGTGGGAGAACTGCTTGTGTGTGAGGTACAGGTTCACAGTGGGAGCCTGCTGGGGAAGAAATATAACTGGAGCTGCGATGATCTGATGGGAGGTGGAGGGTTGCATTCTGTTGGTACCTACATCATTGATCTCCTGACCTTCCTCACCAGTCAGAAAGCAGTGAAAGTTCACGGACTTCTTAAGACCTTTGTGAAACAGACAGACCACATTAAGGGAATACGGCAAATTACGAGTGATGACTTCTGTACATTTCAAATGGTCTTAGAAGGTGGGGTGTGCTGCACTGTTACCCTTAATTTCAACATGCCGGGGGAATTTAAACAAGATATTGTTGTGATTGGATCAAGTGGTCGGCTAATTGCAGTAGGCACTGATTTGTATGGACAAAGCAATAACTCCCCACAAAAAGAACTCCTTTTGAAGGATTCTGCCCCAGTCAGCAATGCCTTGTTACCTGAGAAGGCCTTCAGTGACATCCCATCTCCATACCTTCGGGGCACCATAAAGATGGTACAAGCAGTCAGGGAGGCATTTGAAGATCAGGATGACAGACGAACCTGGGATGGCCGGCCACTCACAATGGCTGCAACTTTTGATGACTGTCTCTATGCTTTGTGTGTGGTGGACACCATTAAAAGATCCAACCAGCTGGGTGAATGGCAGAACATTGTGATTATGACTGAAGAACCAGAACTGAGTCCTGCTTACTTGATCAGTGAGGCCATGCGGCGGAGCAGGATGTCTCTGTACTGCTAGCTTTTTGTCTTGGGGGAAGAAGGAAGTGAATTGATTCAGTTTTTTCTTGACAGAAATATGACTACACATCTCAGGCCTGGACAAGGGAAACAGTTTAAGGAAACAATAATTGTTGCTTGAACCACATTGCCTAGTTGGTGCTGAAATAGTAGATGCATTTGAAATGCTCATAGCACATAGTAGTTGCAGATCCTTATGAAGGAAAAATGTGCATTAACTTTTTACAAAATAGTAGGAAGGTAAATCATAATCAGTTTGCAATCTGTTGGAGCATGGCTGATTCAGTTGTGTTTACTGTTAAAAAGAAGATTCAGGAAGGTCCAATTGGACATTACAAGACAACAGACCACAAAGATGCTTGAATCAGAAACCTGTGCAGATTCTACAGGCTTACCCACAGCTTCAAGGAGCTCCACTGATAAAGCATGCTACATGAGTTAAACAATACAGTAAGAACATTTGGCATGAATGTGTTATCTGCTCTCAAAGAAACCTGGCAGCTTGGCTTTTATAGCTAACATGAATGAAGCTTTTGGATCTTTTTTCTTTCCCTTTCTATGGAATGTAACTTGAACAAGTAGGGTTTCTTTCCCAATTCAGATTTCTCCAAATTCATAGTATGTTCCATCTCAGGTTCCAGATGCCCAGGCTTGGCAGGCTTTGATTCAAAGCACAAAAATCTATATAAAAAATAGGTTTGGGCGAAAATTAGTTTAGGGTAGCTACGTAATGTTTGATAAGCTTAGATTCCTGGTAAATTCCAGGGTGATGTTTGCTAATCTATCAGAGCAAAACCACGCATGATTCCTGTGATATCTTAATATGTTTATTGTAGCATAGATTTTCATGGACTGGGGCCTTCTTTTGTTAGAAGCATGAAGTAGTCTATCTAACAAAATGGATTTAGTTGCAAAAAGACATATTGTTATATATTACTTGGTTCTCAAGAAATTACAAGATTACTAGTTGTCTCTGATTTGGAAGTATATCTTTAGGTCTCAAACTTGGGGAAGAGAGGGAGGTGATCAACAAAGCATAGGTTTGAGCCAAACCTCATATATTTTAGGCAAAACCTGTACAAAACAAAATGTGATGCCTCTCCAGAATTCCTAGCCAGTAAGGAAAGTGCCAGCTTACAGAAAAACTGATTTAACTGAAGGGGAGGTGAGATGTGGCAAAGGATAGTTTTTGTATGTTTGAGTTGGACAGTTTGTTCTTGTTGTGGAAGCATTCTCTGTGATCTGATAATCAGAACGTTCGGCAGTTTTACTGCAATATTGTTTGAGTCTCCATTCCGTATCATAATGACAACAGGTGGGCCTTTTGTCCTGTTGCTCTCAAGCAGATCATTCTCTGGGATCTTCATTATGAAAACTCGCATCTTAATGAGCTATAAATGTTCCTTTGTTTCACTTTTAAAAATTCAAATAAATATTGGAGGTATTACTTGGAACTGCAGGTTTCATATTACTTTATCTCTAGAACTGAAATTATCCTGCAGGAATTGATATATATTTCCTTGTAGCAAAAGTTGCCAGAGCTTGTTAGATTAAAAAAGCCATTTGATCCAAAACTACCTGCAGCCTAGACCAAGACCAAGACTAAGACTCAGGAATTGTCTTTGGTGGGTGAACTGAGCCAATGATAGCCCAAAATGGTGGGGATCCCTATTCCTTCTCTGATATCCCTTTTTCCCCCTCTACTTGGCACTGCTGTATTTCTTTTGTTTTTCTCTCCCAAGTAGCAGAGTGTAGGTCCTTGACTGATTTCCTGCAGAGAGATTTTGAAATTATGATAACCACCACAGGTGTGTCCTTAGTTAAACCTCATTACAGTAATTTGCTTTTAGAAATAGCACTGCCAAGTCTCATCCTGGAGAATCATCATCCTGTCTTTTGGTTGATTCTACAAGTTATGAAGGAAAAAAACCATTGTGCTTCCTTCCATATATACCTTGCTTATTCTCTGGTCTGGGATGCCATCTGTAAACTCTCCTTGATAAATTTCATCAACAATCCTCTTAAGAAAGCCCTAGTTTGTTTACAATGTCGCCTTCCCCAGAAACCTTTACTATTAAGAATGCTGAGAGTTACACTGGCTTAAAATTACAGTATACCTTTTAGGTGGGAAATGCACTTGGGTTTTTGTTTTTTTTGGGGGGGAGGGAGGAATTGTTGAAGGGCTACAGGGTTTTAGTCATAAAGTCATGATGTCACCAGAGAGGATGGGACTGATTTTTTTTTACTGTGTTTTGGGGAAAGGAAACGTTGGGAGGGTTTAAATATCTATTTTAGGAGGTTATTGCATTAAAAAGAAGTTGCACTGGTGAAAATAACAATTTTCCTGGCAACATTGTGAGAACTAAATCTGGCCCACAAGCCACAGATGGTCCACTCTTGCTTTATACCCTAATTTGCATTTTGCCGACAACTGATCTTCGCTAGATGTTAATAAAATGCCAAAGGTCAGGAACTAAAGATTTATGAAAATTATACTTAGTTGGTAGGGCTTGATTTAGCACCTTGCATGTATAACTGGGAGAACTGCATTAATTTCAGGAACTGGATTGAGCCCATTTTGTATAAAGTCAGATGAGAAATAGTAGAAACAGAAGAATCCTGTTCTACCATGGAATTCTTATGTACTTGAACTTGCCTTATCTAGCTTAATATGGGGGAGAGGAGATTAAAGGAGAATCTGTTATTGGGGCATCTTAACAGCATCATGAGTGATCTCTGCTGACTGCTAAGGTATTTCACTTGTGTCTGTATATGAACTGAAAGAGCATCTTTTAATAAAGGGTCTCTGCAAGTGTCAGTAATATAACCTCCCTTGCTTTTCCTTCTCTCCCAGATCTAAAGAGCTTGAGTACAATTGAAATATCAGGTGGGTGGACAGGAATATGTTTGCACTAAGAAAAAGTAGAATGTAATGGCATCACTCTCTTTAAATTATTACCACTATCCCTTCATCCCCGTTCAAAGATTCACACACACAGCATCAGGATTCAACAGAGTCCTATAGAGAGATAGATGATACTTGGTACCAAGTAATGGATGGAAGAATAAATTTAAAACAGGAAAATGCATAAAGCATTGGAGAAGTGACGTTGTTGGGCTTGATACTCCATTTACTTGATAATAGACAAGCCTTCCCCAACTTCATATTCTTCAGATACGTTGAAACTACAGCTCCCATAATCCTAGTGAATGCTGACTCTGCAGTTTGGCAGATGTGGTTCTAACGTAGCTGAAGGGCACCAGATTGGAGACGGCTGCTATAGAACATTAAAACTTCTCCACCGCTGCTGCTGCACTGTCAGTCTCTATCTGAACAATCCTTGCAGAATGACTTACTCTCTGATTGACAGGTTTTTCACATTATTTTAAAAAAATAAAAGGAGGGATGCCTAGTGGGATCATCTGTTATTTCATTCCATCCTAGGCAGATTTAGTTAGTTTAGCCTTCGTTTTTGTCATTCTGCTGTGCTGCTTTATAAGGGCGCTGAAGATGACAGAGGTACTTAGCTCTGTAAATCTTCTTCCGTATAAAAAATAGCACTCCCATGATTGATTGCAACTCTCTCCTTGATCTGGTTCTTGAAGACATTTTCCTCTTTATTTTTAACTTTGAACAGTCAAGTGTACATTTATTGCTGTATTATATATATATAT